AAGCAACAGCAGAAACCAAAGGCTGTACATCGTGGTGCTGGAGGAGGCAAGGAGACAGTGCCAGCAGGAGTCCTGCTGCATGAGTCACAGGACCCAGCCCTGGAGGAGCAGCAGGATGAGAAGGTGAGCAGCACAGAACCCCAGCACAGTGGGGCTGGAGGGACCCCTGGAGATCATCTAACCCAACCCCCCTGCTCCAGCAGGTCACCCACAGCAGGGTGCCCAGGATGGTGCCCAGGTGGGTTTGGGATCTCTCCAGAGCAGGAGACTCCACAGCCTCTCTGGGCAGCTGCTCCAGGCTCTGACACCCTCACACCAAAGCATTTTTTCCTCCTGTTCTGATGGAACCTCCTGGGTTCCAGTTTGTGCCTGTTGCCCCTTGTCCTGTCTCTGTGCACCACTGAAAATCAGTCAGTCCCCATCCTCTTGCCCCCTGAGGCCCTTTAGCTCTTGCTCAGCACTGATCAGATCCCCTCTGAGTCTTCTCTTCTCCAGCTGAACAGCCCCAGGGCTCTCAGCCTGTCCTGGCACAGAGATGCTCCAGGACCCTCAACATCTTTGTGGCCTCTGGTGACCTCTCCCCAATAGTTTGTCTTTCTTCACTTGGGGAGCACAGAACTGGCCACAATATTCTGAGTGTCTTCACCAGGGCACAGCAGAGGGTCAGGAGAACCTCCCTCAACCTACTGGCCACACTCTTCATGCACCCCAGGAAACCATTTGCCTTCTTGGCCACCAGGACCCATTGCTGGCTCATGGGGAACTTGTCCCCATCACTCCCAGGTCCTTCTCCACAGAGCTGCTTCCCACACTCTCCTGTCCTGTCCACGTGTCTGTCCCTTCTCACCCTCTGTGCCTCTCCAGCCCTGCACAGCTCTTCCCCCAGGGAGCCCAAGCAGCTCCTGCTGCTTTTGGGGTGCTGTGGGGCACCCCATACCTGACTCCATGACTTTGGAACCCACTGCTTTCACAGAGCATCCCCCAGGCCTGGGGGATCTGCTCTGTTCCTGGCAGGGAGCTCAGGGGGCCCTGGGCCTCACCAGGCCAACACCTCCCACCACAACACACCCGGGGGGTGTCTGGGGCAGGGTACTTCCCCCTCCCCCCCGGCCCGGGGCGTGCCCAGGGGACGGGGGGTCTGCAGGAGCCCTGCCTGCCCCTGCTCACCCAGCAGAGCTGCTCTTGCCCGCGCTGTGAAGTCAGTGCAGTTCTCTGTGCTGAGCCCGTGGCTGTGGCCGCCCGGGTGCTCCCCACAGCTCCCATCTCTCCTCTGTTGTCTACAGGAGGAGCAAGATCAGGACCAGCCTGGAGTGGAGGTAAGTGCTCTTCTCTGAAGCTAAGTGCTGAGGAGGTAACTCTGAGGAGACCCGGTGCCTGCTGGGGGCTGGGTCAGTGTGAGCCCTCCAGAGGTCCCAGCTCTGCAGTCACAAGTCCCCTCCTTGCCTGTGACTGAACCCAGCTGTCCTTGTACTCCCAAAAAAACACCATCTCTGCTTACCCTGCTTATCAGAGACACCCTGGGGCTGGTGGGTTGCACCGTAGGAGGCTGGAGCACTTCACTCTTCAGTCTGCAAGTTTATTTACATATCAAACTGCTTCAGAGTTTTCTCTAATTACAGGCTGTGGGTGTTGCCCAAGGCTGGAAATAACTAATTTCCTTAAATTCTTTAGTGAAGGAAGCTAACGGTTGTCTGGAGGGGGAAGCTTTTGGTGACCCTGTGAAGTTGGAACTATATTTGGGAGGGTCCCATTTGGGTCATTTAAAACTTAAGACCCATCCTGGTTCCAATAATTTGATTTTAGTAATGGTAGAGTGGGTTTGGTTGGAAGAGAGAGCTGATAAGATGATCAAGTCCAACTGTTAGCCCAGCATGGGCAGGTCACCACTCCTCAGAGCTGGTCAGTAATGAGCTGTAGGCTGGTGAGCAGTGCCCACAAGTGAGGGATGAAGGCAAAGAGAGAACATTTTGGTGACCCCAGCCCAAGCTCTAACGCTCAGCACTTGCTGGGTGGGTGCTGAGCTGCAGGGGAGCCCCTCCCAGTGAAACCAGTGGGCAGGGGCTGGGGAGCCACTCTGCTTTCCTAGCTGTGAGCTCCTCTGCCCCTGCAGGAGGGCGAGGGGCTGCTGGACTCCCTGACAGGGCAGCCTCACCCCGAGGACATCCTGCTCTTCGCCGTGCCCATCTGTGCCCCCTACACGGCCATGGCCAGCTACAAGTAAGTGGCAGCCCTGGTGGGGAGGGGTGGCCCGAGGGCGCCCGGCCCCTGCTCACACAGAGCCCTTCTTTTGGAAGGTACAAAGTCAAGCTCACTCCAGGCACCCAGAAGAAAGGCAAAGGTATGGAACTGAAGCCCTGCAGTCCTTCCTGGCGCTCTGCCTGTTGAAGGCAGCAGGGTTTCACTCTGTCCTGTTTGCAGCTGCCAAGATTGCCCTGCACAACTTCATGCAGTCCAAGGAAGCCAGCGCCAGGGAGAAGGATCT